ACGAAACCCCCCCGTGCGGGCTGGCCGAAGGCGCTGGTGGACGGCGAGGGCGCTACCTAATAAGTCCTGTCAAGAGACTGGATTAAAGCTAACGATACTAAAATTGAATACCACTGCTCGAGAGCAATCAATCTCTAGTAGAAATCGCGTGGCACTCGCCACTGAAATCAACAGTATAGACAAACGATATATATATCGAGCTATTATTTAAGGGAAGGAGCTCTGCTTACACTGAGGGCTAGTCTACCTGAAGTTGATACCTCCACGGTTTATCATATCGATACACTTAATGCTCAAATTAGTTAGTGATAGCTGTGTCTGAGTATCGTATTAGTCGAGTTACTCGCGATGAGCATAATGGACATGATTGCAACATAGCTCGCGAGACAGAGAGGCTCGATATTTATCATTGCAAATAATGATTATTAGCATCGCAACATCTAATATCATAGAATGAGTGTCACAGTAAAGATATCACTCAATTGACTTGTACTATGTACTCTGTGAATAGATGCGCGTCCAGACTAGAGACAAACCCCATAATACGTTTTTCATCCCAACATAGTGTCGCTATACACATTTAGCGCTGAAAAAGTACAACATATCGATATAATATGGCTGTATTTAAAGTGTTAGCAATTTTTTTCATGTAAATAGGTGTATGTAAGGAGAACGTTTCCAGCTACAGACCCCACCAGTTGGGGTGCCACGTGGAACGACCACGCGGGGGGGCAAGACTCACGCCATTGGACTAATGTCCGGGCCTACCGGGTTCGGGCCACGGGTGGGTGTTGGTCCACCCACAACGACAAACGTGCAGGATTGAAGATCCTGCTATGGGATGGACGGCGTGCGAGAATAAGGCGCAATGTTGTGTGTATGAATCAAGAGGGCGGGAGGTGTGGATTGAGAAAGGGGAAAGAGGGTGACGGCGAAGAGACGACATCAGCTTATATGTGGTTGTATATAGGCACCGTCAAAGACCTGCGAGAGAAGACACGTTTGACGG